TCCCCAGCAACCTACATCGTAGGCAGATTATGGTTCAAACTCAATGCCCACTTTGCATGGAGGTCGCGGGGGATGAGCAACACATTTTCCTTCATTGCAGGTTGGTTTCCCCAGCATGGATCAGTTTTTCCACGGTTTTAGATGTCCCAGCAGTTCGTGGGAACCCTACGGTCCAGCAAATCCTTTTTGGTTGGTGGTTCTCTTCGAACAAAACTAGTATAAAGGGTAACCTTAGGTTTCTTCTCCCCGGTTTCATTTGTTGGTCCATTTGGAAGCTATACAACTCCTGCCTTTACGAGCATGTCAAACCATCCACGGATGCCATTATTATCTCAGTAAATCAACTTGCACAAGCTTGGTTCTGGGCAAACAAAGTGGATACCTCTTTCCTGTACTCTTTGGATATTTTTAGATTGGGTATCTCTACTTTTAAGAACACTAGAGTCCCGTCCAGGACCTAGTGATCCCCTCCCTTTGATGTACCCCCATCTCTCTTTGTACGATTTTCTTTTATCTCAATAAAGACTTTCTTTTATTATATATATATATATATATATATATATATATATATATATATATATATATATATATATAGTATTGGACATTGGGCCACACACCTAAATTGGCCACCAATTTAAGAAGTTAGGAAGTTATGAATGAATGTAATATAGATATTTAATTATGTTGGGCCATTATTTAGGGAGACACATGAATTTAAATATTGTATTCTGCTATTCATGTTTAAGAATTGTTAATTTTGATCTTTTATCACACATACATGTATGTTGAAAATGTCGTACTTGTTTATGTGTATATATATATATATATATATATATATATATATATATATATATATAAACACACACACACACACAATCACACACATATACAGAATCACTAAAGATATATATATCCGTATATATTATTTTTTTTAGTGTAGATAAATGCATTTATTTATCTAGAATTAGTCAGTGTATTGTTTTATTTCTAAGTCATAATCTCGTATTTATTAAGTAATTATTTTTAATATTCAATCGTTCCATGAAATTATTTAAATTAAATTATATTATTATAACATTGAATATTTTCAAAAAATTTAAAAACATATGATATTAGAAAATAGGCACAACTCATAATGAAGATAGTAAAATCTCATTTAATGCTATTAATAGTCCTAGGCGTGTGGCTCTAGGAGTGTGAAAGGAACTTAACTATTTTTTTGAAAGTAGTCACTTCAATGGGATTTTAGCAAATATGATATTTATTGCACATTGGGCCACACACCTCACAAAATAATCTTTTTGAATTTCCATTAAATAAAGGAGCATTGGGCCACCCACCAATGTGTAACTTCACATTTATTACACACTGGGCTACACACATCATAAATAAACTGATTTCGCAGCCTATATTGAGCCACACACAAATAAGTATGCTTACTTTTAGGGTTCGCAGAGTCTTTTTTTTATTTATTATTTTCGAGTTCTTATCTCATAGGCATGTATGCTTAACTATTTTATATATATATATATATATATATATATATATATATATATATATATATATATATATATATATATATATATATAAACACAGAATCACTAATTTTATATATTCGCATATATATAAATTCTTATAACATAACTATATATATTTTTCTAAATTAGTACCAATATTTGGACTTATTTTTCGATGTTTGAAAATCCTGATTTGATAAATATGACATTAATTACACATTGGGTTACACACCAATGTGTATTTTATCGTTTTTAATGCATTGGGCCTCACACCTCATAAATAAATGTATTTTCGAAACCCCATAAATGAAGGGAGCATTGGAAAAGTTTTGACGGTATTAGACGGCCTCACATCCCAAAAGTTTCTCATTTGCGGTAGTTTTGACGGATTGGAAATTGTCATGAACAAAAACATCCCGAATCCCATAAACACCGTTCTCCACAATTTGTTTCTCAAACCGTTTTTTTTCCGGTTTTTTGAGATGTGCGTGAATCCTTGCGCCCTATACAAACGAAGAGAGTTTAGATTAGAAATAGTTAATATATAAATTACGAATAAGTACAAAAAAATTTGGAATGGCATACATGTTCATCGTGAAAAACTACTTCCATTGAATCTCCGCCTTTGTTCCAAACGGGAACAAAATACACACGCACGACGCGTAACTTGAACATCAAAGTCGGCCGGGTGTTGCCAAGCTCACCAACAGGAGACCACATGCTTAAAGAATCCGTTTGAGACATTTGATGATTTTTTGGGATGCTAGAGAAGTGAATTGGGAATGAATGAAGTTTACCTCTTAATTCGGTCATATTTATAATCATGCTCCATGATACCTTTCCACAATGCTTTAGTTTAGATTTTAAAAATCTTTAAAATAAATTGAAGTGACACAAAATAAATTTTTTTTAAAACCACCTTTATGGAGCCACCAAATTTGAGTTATCAATGTAACTTTATTGAAGATGGTAATGAGTGGACATAAAGCAAAAAAAGAAGATTCGAATCGACACCAAAGCAGGCCATTTCCGTATACCAATGCAGGCCAATTCCGTGGATCAATGCAGGCCCATTCCATCTACCAATTCAGGCCCAATATCGCAGCAAGGTCCACCAAGTTTAGGCAGGAACACTGTTCACGAAAAATCCACCTAGCATTGTATATAGGAGGATTGTTTTGGTATGAGAGTCTATGGATATGCCAAACATACTAAATGCTAATGCACACCCACGCATACAAACACAATTTATATTCTTTTACTACTCACTTTTAAATCTTACCCTTTCAAACATCAACTTTTACTCTCCAAGAGAATAAATATTTGACATATTCAAATTACTAAGTAAGTTTTATTAACCTAATAAATTATATTAATTATTAGAACTAAATAGATGCATAGATAATATAAAAATTTCTATTTGCAAAAATAACATACTCTACCTTTTAAAATTTTAAATCATAAGAGCGTTTATTTACACGACTTCATTAGTGCTTTATTTTTCTATCACCTTTTACGTTGCATAATGTGTATGAAAGTTTAAGTTTAATTTAAATTATTTCTAAAGTTATTTACTTAAAAATTATTTTAAAATGTATTGCTCCAGTATTTCCTTATGTTACTAGTATTTACAAAAAAATATTTTTAAATTTTCATTCATACGGAGTACTCCCTCCGTCCAACTTTAAAGTTCTCAATTTTTTTTGGTCTGTCCATAAATAATGTTCTCATTTCCTTTTTGGAAACTTTTTTGTTAAAAAGACATAACTACCCTCATTTTCCTTTACTTTTTCTTCTCTCCTTTTTTCTTTTATTTTCTTCTCTCGTTTCTTTTTCTTTTCTTTGGTCTCTGATTTCTTTTTCTTCTTTTTTCTTCTCTCATTTTTTTCTTTCTCTCTTTTCTTCTTTTTGTTCTTATTTCTTTCTTTCTCCTCTTTTTTCTTCTTCCCCTCCTCCCAGTTTTTCCTTTCTTTTCTTTGTCTTATTTTTTGTCCCCCAATCCACAGAACTAAGAAATCCGATTCAGATCTATGAAAGAGGTCAATGTCGATGAAGAAATCTATTGTGGCGGTGGAGTACAAACAACGATTGATGATGGCGTTTTGGATTGGAAGGAAGGAGCCTCAAGTTTCTTCCTTCTTCGTCTTTTTTGTTAGTTCCATGGTGTTGGCTAATCTTTTGCAAAATAGAATCCCATATTTGTTAAGTGTTTTAGTAGGTAGAAAGCTCTATTTGTTAGGAGAGATTTATTTTATTTAGACTTCTAGAGTTGCTGCAGTTTTTAAGGTTGACACAGAGGATGCTACAACAAGTTGCTGCAACACATTGTTCGGGATCAGAGGTCTGAGCACGAGATTTTAAGCTACAATCTGAATTAGAGACCTGTTAGGATTGTGATGACTACATGATAACAACTCCAGCTGTACTTGTAAAGGAATCCCAACTCTTTAGGCTACTTGTGGATCAAGATTAAGGAAGTTTAGTTCAAGTCAACTTCTACTAACCTATTCCTATTAGGATTGTGTTGAGATAAGTCTATAAAAACGCAGCAAGTCCCTGGGAATTATAGGGAGCGATTGAGATGGAAAACAAAGAATATACGCTGATGTAGAGCATTCCTGTCGCGTCCCGGAGCTTCCATTACGTGAAGAAAGTTACGATATACATGAAGAAGGAGTCCTACAATGAAAAATAGATCGTGACAACCAGGAGATGAACCAGAGCTTAAGGAGAGGGTTGCCAACACGTTTGTCCTCGTGATCTC